CCCCCACAGATCTCACCTCTTTGAAAAAAGGCTTGGCAATTTCAATGTAGGTGTCTACGATTTCACAAGCCACCACTATGCCGTTCTCCGGCATGGCCAAAGCCATACTCAGAGCGTTGTACCCCGTGTACATCCCTACAGGAAAAATGTAACAAATGTTTGAATGTGAGTTTTTTTGTTCTTTTAAGTTGATCAAAATAGTTTTGATGAACTGACTGAATGAATATGGATGTATTTAAATGCATTGCATCAAAGCATCATATTTATTGTGATTGAGTCTTTTGTCTAAAGATAACAACTATCACTTTCTTAAAGTTAAAAGACACAGAAACAACTCAGTTAGGCCTCTTTGGGTCATTGGGTCAAAGGGCAGCAGGAGAGTTAATCTTACCTATTTCAATAGCTTTTGACGCGTTAATCAATCTGATGAGATTTGCCATAAACTGCGCTTGTTCACTGGCCACCATCATGATATTCCATGGATCTTCAAGGGTTCTCTGAAATTAAAACAGGAAATAACAAAGATTTAGTTGTAGTTGTTGTTGATGCAGTGTTGTATAAAGTACCTCAAAGTGATACTTGAGTACAAGTACAAGTATCTTATCATAAAATTATTTAAAGTCTCCTCTATTACTTGAATAAAAGTCTTTTTACAGTAAGTATCAAAAGTAAATTTCTGACATCAAATGTGTTTAAGTATTAAACGTAAAAGTATTGAGTAAAGATGAGCTGTGAGATTCTTCAAAAAACATTTTTTAAAGGCGTGCAGCTGTGATGGATTTTGTACAAACTAATACCGTGTCAGAATGATTAATATTTATTCTTCTTATCCAACTACAATTTAATTCCCTCTATCCTGAAGATACAATTGATCAGGATAGTATTTTTTGCCACTTCAGTAGAAAGCAGAACTGAATATCTTAATATTAGTATCTTAGCTTCTTCATCATCAGTGGCTTTTTTTGTTGTGTTTTTTTAAGAAGAAAAAGTAAGAGAATAGTGAAATGTAATAGAAAAGAGTGAAAGAGAGATTACAAGATATGTGTAATATATATAAAGAAACCACAAGACAACACACCCGACATCTTGGCTGTACACCTACAGAAACAGAGATAACAAAAACCACAGCAACAAAAATGCATATCTATATAATTATGATTATAGCCTTGCTGAAAGGTATACACACACACACACACACACACACACACACACACACACACACACACACACACACACACACACACACACA